CTATTTCCTTTATTAGGTGGTGAATAATACTTACTCCTCCATCAGGTGGTGAATATACTTACTCCTTCATTAGGTGCAGAATATACTTACTCCTTCATCAGATGGTGAATAAACTTACTCCTTCATCAGGTGGTGAATAAACTTACTCCTTTATCAGGTGATGAATATACATACTCCTTGATCAGGTGGTGAATATACTTACTCCTTCCTCAGGTGATGAATATACATACTCCTTCATCAGGTGGTGAATATACTTACTCCTTCATCAGGTGGTGAATATACTTACTCCTTCATCAGGTGGTGAATAAACTTACTCCTTTATCAGGTAATGAATACACTTCTTCCTTCATCAGGTGATGAATATATACTCAATATATACTTTTCATCATTTTGAAATTACAATGTGCCGTTGAGAGTGACATCCAAGGGAAAAATACCAGCACCTTGAGCATGTACTAGTTACGTGGATATGTGTGCTATACAAATATCCTGTAGTAATAATAAAGAGAAAAGCTATTGTGTATGACTTGAAGTTACATATGATGAGACTTATTAACTTATTGATGAAAATATTAACACTTTCTTTAGGTGAATGTTATGCTTACTCCTTCATCAGGTGATGAATATACTTGCTCCTTAAGTAGGTGAAGAATATACTTACTCCTTAAGTAGGTGAAGAATATACTTACTCCTTAAGTAGGTGATGAATATACTTGCTCCTTAAGTAGGTGATGAATATACTTGCTCCTTAAGTAGGTGAAGAATATACTTGCTCCTTAGCCAGGTGAAGGATATATACATGTACCTTCACTGGGGCAACAATATAGATACTCCTTCATAAGGTGAAGAAACTCTTTACTTATTCACTAGATGATGAAGAAACTATATAATACACATTCATCAGGTAATGAATATACCTACCCCTTTATCAGGTGAAAGATATGCTTCTTCCATCGTTAGGTGATGAATATATACTGATGGTAAAAAGTTAGGCAACCCCCATATTTTGATAAATGATGCCACAAACAGGATTGACTGTAGCTGGATGAAGACTTCGCATGCTTGGTTTTTGTATCTTACACGAAGGAAATAACAATGAAACTGAAGTATGAGACAAAAGACAACATTTACTAGTGTGATGGTGTTTATTGAGAGCAAAAGAAAAATGTAAGTGAAAAACAACAAATTTCATCACTTTACATGTTTGGAATCGGTGTGAAGGAAAAATTTACATTTGAAAGGAATAGAGAGAAATAGTGCAAGAAACAAACAGTTGAATGTCTCTAGCACTGTTTTAGTGTACAGGAAGCAATCGGTATTCAGTGTATCCTCTTCAGGTTTTTGATGACAGATGCACACCTATTGGCCATTGACCGAACCCAACTTTTTAAGAAATTGCATCGGCAAATTGTTCCATTCATGGACTATGGCATTTCCACCTAACAGCTGACGTGAAATGAGTTCGAGCCATTCTGGTGTTTCTGAATATCACTTTCAATGTCAAATTACAAGTGACATAACCATGTGAATGACGGTGGCTCCCACGTGATCGAAGCACATAAAAATCTTGTGCGTGATCATGAACATTGTGCATGTTTCGTAAAGAGTCGTTGATGGTGCTACATTTCAGTAACAATTGTTTGGCTCAGCAAAACACATTTTGTCAGTTATTTATCGTAATATACAGGTGTTGCTTAGCTTTTTATCATGAGTATATTAGCCATTCATAAGGTGATGAGTATACTTACTCCTTCATCAGATGATGAATATACTTATTCGTTCCTCAGGTAATGAATATATTAACACCTTCAGGTGACGAGTATACTTACTCCTACATCAGGTAAATGATAATATACTCATGAAAACGAACAAAGGAACACATGAGAGTACAAGTGTTCCTGTATTTATTTCCACAGTTTCACCCACAGTGCAATACATGCCTTGTCAAGAAACCTGGAAAAGAATAAAGGAACACTTGTATTTTCATGTGTTCCCTTATTCATTTCCATGGGTATATATACTGTTTTCATCAGGTGAAAAACATTGCTACTTTTTGCATCAGGTGAAAAAAGATACTTACTCCTTCACCTGAAGAATTCATAGAAATTGCACCATCAGTTGAAGATTATAAAGATAATTAATTCGTGAACTCATTCATTGTTTAATGCCTAAATTCAATAAGTCTTATTAATAAACTGTATTTTGTAGGCAAATATTCAGGAGTAGTACAGAAACTTACATGGAACTGTCAAGGTGACAGCAATAATCCAATACATGGACCACTGAAAATTCACCTGTAATTTATTTGAAAACAGCTATTGAACGAGCAGGGGTGGTCGGTCAGTCTAGATTGGAAATACAATCATTTTAATTGGCTAAAAATGCATGAAAATTCGTTGTAAACAAGCAACGAGATATGGAACACGTGTGTTACTATTTTAGGGAGGGTATCCCCTTCGGGTCGCAGGTCACATGATTGAAAATGGCGCTGCTTATATGTGAGAGATCGACTGAGATGTTTGATGGTTTGCAAAGGTTAATTTTTTGATATTTTGATGACGAAAATAGGGCGCAGGTATAAGTACAAACAAGTCATTCACGTATGTTTTTCTTGCGCAAAAATCGTAATGGGTGCACGAAAGTAAGACAGAGGACTTCCTCCATTGCGGCCTATGGAAGTGATGCATAGTGTTCCTATTAATGAACCAGGTATGATGCATTCTTACCTGAGGAGTGTAGGATTAGGGACCTAATACAATATGGCAGGTAGGTGTTCGGTGTACCAGCATTTCAACAGCATCATATGTGTTCATATGTCGGCTTGCTGTTGTCACATACACAGAACATCCTCAAAAAACTCCAGGGTATACGTTACGATCACTCTCCACTATACCCTGGATTCATCCACGGCTTGGCCCGATGATTTTATTACCTCCCTTGGCTGTCTTTTTATCCAATCAGGTGTCTACGCTGGAAAGTTGAGCGAACCAATCACAACTCACTTACGCTTCTTAAATTATTTAACCGTTTAAGCTTGTCAACATAATAATATATTGTTGCAGATGTACTCTGAAAGAGGTAGAAGGAGTTCTTTTATATGGTTTTTTAAAGATTCAGATCTGTCAGTTTGTCTGTATTATTTCCCAAAAAATCTGAGTGGTACTGTGAACAAACCTTCGCGACTGCGACCGCTATCTTTGTTGACACTGGCAAGCTCGGATGTAACGGCGGCTTAGCTGATTGGCTACTGTGAGAATGCGGAGCCAGCAAAGGGAGGTGATATAATTATCGGGCCAAGCCGTGGATGCATCCAGGGTATAGTGGAGAGTGATCGTAACCTATACCAAGGAGATTATCGAGGATGATACACAGAAGTGAATGGGCATGAATATGGTTATTGTAAATATCATGTACTGTGGACTCTGGCAATATCGGCCTCTGTAAACACTGGCACTCGGTCTATATCAGCACAAAGTTTCAGTCCTGGCAGAAATGCACTTAATTATCATTTAGAAACATCTGTAAACATCTGCATCTGTCTACACAGGATGTCGGCATTCTTTTTTCAGTCCCAACTAACAATTGTTTTGAAAACAAATCTGTAAAAGCCGGCACATGAAGGACGGTGCAACCCTATGATGCAATTAGGTCCTAATGATGTAACAACACAATTCGCGGTACTCCCGAGATTATTCAGAAATGGAAAGTGTCAATCAGTATATTGTTAATTAGTGAGTGGTACGTGTTACTTACATAAAGTAATTAACTCTTTCAACACCAGTCAACCAGAGGCATTTACTGCCATAACACCGAGTTCCCAGAGACTCGAAGGTCATAGATGAAGCCTATGTTTATGAAGAAAATTATTACAAGAAGATTTCTTAAATAATATGTATGGTCGCCTATTTCCCGATATCAGTGGCTTTCTGCTCGGTAACATGACAAAACAATGGAAAATACCTCCGTTTTCGAAGCTTCGTGAATAACATGTGAGGCGAATCGTTTGATGGCTGGTATCGTTTGAAAGCTCTGAACTTCAACATTATCACTATACCCTTACCGAGAGTATTTTCACATTTGTAAGAAGCGATTTTTATTGGATACAGATTGGTTTCTAATGACGCTTTTTCGCCACAGTCTGCTATAAGGGCCGTGATTGGTCAAAATCAGACTCGTGACCTAAGGCAGCCAATCGTATTATGGCAATGGATACCGTCCTCGTAAATGAAAACTTTTAGATTTAGACGAAAGTTTTGGGTAAAATAATGTTTTTCTGAACTTATTAAGCAAGAAATCGCTACATGGAACTTATTGGACGTATCGTGTTAGGTTATGACCTGTGACAAAAATGCTTCATAGATATATTTTCGCATTAAACATCGTGTCTGTGCGTGAAGAGATCTTGTCAGTGACTTGACTTACATTACATGATCGCACAAAAAGAGATGGAAATATTAATTTTATATGTAGGTTTGACAACTTTTATGAATGCTATTGTTGATTTTATTCATTAGTTTATTCAGTTTGTTTAATGATTTCCTCGAAACATGTTGTTAATGCTAAAGTGACAGTACGACAGTGAACTTCCCGTGTGCACCTGCGTCATAAGCAAACTTGCAACCTGCCTAAACCGGCACTGCGTCAAATCTGGCATTTTTATTTGGTCCCGATTGATGCTGGTATTGACAGAGTACACTGCATCTGAAACATGTCTAAAATGATATCATAGAGAATTTTATAGCCCTAAGTCTTTCCATATCATATTGTGTATGGGGCGTTGGGGTAGCCGAGTGGTTAAAGCGTTGGCTCGTCACGCCGAAGACCCGTGTTCGATTCCCCACATGGGCACAATATGTTAAGCCCATTTCTGGTGTCCCCCGCCGTGATATTGCTGGAATATTGCTAAAAGCGGCGTAAAACTAAACTCAATCAGTCATATTGTGTATGGTGCCTACTCTAAATGTTATAAGAGTGTGACAACTGGTTTCTTATGTTTTCAGTAAACACGATAACATCCACAGATTAATGATGGAAGTTGCAATCCACAGAATCCTTTCTCTATCACTAAAACAAATGAAATCCGTCTAACCCGGAGATATCAAGAAAGATTTTTTATTGACATCTTAGAAACAGGTAATCTCAAGGAATAACCCATCAATGGAACATTAGAAATAGGTGATCTGATGAAAGAGCCTGTTATTGGAACCCTGAAATTTATTGATCTGATGAAAGAACCCATTATTGGAACCGTGGAAATGGCTGGGAACGAGAATCATGAAAAACATACTGGTCCAACAAAGCAGTCTCATGCATGTTGTGAGTGCAGTAAAACATTTTCTAAATCAAGTGACTTCAAAAAGCACATGCTCTGTCACAGTGAAATCAAGCCTAATGAGTGTGTTGAATGTCGGAAAACATTCACACACTCAACTGCTCTTCAGAGACACATGAAGGCTCACAGTGGAATCAAGCCTTATCAGTGTAATGTGTGTGAGAAAACGTTTATTCGATTAAGTTACCTTTCAAAACACATGAGGATTCACAGTGGAATCAAGCCATACGAATGTGCTGAATGCGGGAAAAAATTCACGGAATCAAGTACTCTTCAGAGACACATGAGGATTCACAATGGAATCAAGCCATTTGAATGTATTGAATGTGGGAAAAAATTTACACAATCAAGTAACCTGCAGACACACATGAAGCTTCACAGTGGAATCAAGCCATATGAATGTGTTTTATGTGGGAAGAAATTTACAGAATCAGGTAACCTGCAAGTACACATAAAGATTCATAGTGGAATCAAACCTTATGAATGTGGTGAATGTGGGAAAACATTTACACACGCAAGTAACCTGCAGACACACATGAAGATTCACAGTGGAATAAAACCATATGAATGTGTTGAGTGTGGGAAGAAATTTATACAATCAGGTAACCTGCAGGTACACATGAAGATTCATAGTAGAATCAAGCCTCATGAATGTGGTGAATGTGGGAAGAAATTTACACAATCAAGTAACCTGAAGACACACATGATGAAGATTCATAGTAGAATCAAACCCTATGGATGTGATTAATGTGGGGAAACATTTACACAATCAGATTATCTTAAGGATCACATGAGGATTCTCAGTGGAATCAAGCCTCATGAATGTGTGTTGAGTGTGGGAAGAAATTTACACAATCAGGTAACCTGAAGACACTTGAACATTCACAGTGGAATCAAACCTTATCAGTGCATTGTGTATGAGAAAACATGATTTACACAATCAGGTGAACTTCAGGTACACCTGAGGATTCACTCAGGAATCAAGACTTATGAATGTGTTCAATGTGGGAAAGAAATTACCAAATCAGGTCATCTGCAGAGACACATGAGAATTCATACTGGAATCAAACCCTATGAATGTGTTGAAAATGGGAACACATTTATACGATCAGATTGTTTTAAGGGTTATATGAAGATTCACAGTGACATCAAACCCTATCAGTGCATTGTGTGTGAGAAAACATTTATCAGGCACACATGAGGTTTCACAGTGGAAGCAAGCCTTATCAGTGTATTGTGTGTGAGAAAACATTTATTTGATTAGGTACTCTACAGGCACACATGAGATTTCACAGTAGAATCAAACCATATGAATGTGTTGAATGAGGGAAAAAATGTACACAATCGAGTAGTCTGCAGACACACATGAAGATTATCAGTGGAATGAAGCCTTATGAATTGTGTTGTGTTTGGAAAGTATGTACAGCTGCAGGCACCCTTATGATACACATAAGGAGTCAAAATGCTGTCTTATCAATGTGTTGAATGTGGGAAAACGTTTACACTACCAGATACTCTTAGCCAGTAAACTTTTAAGAGGATTTGAGGTAGAATCAACTGATTGTTGAGTATTAGTGTAGTGTATACATAGCAAGGAGTGAGATTAATTAAAGTTCTTCAGTGTTAACCTGGGGTAACTTGTGGCAATTCAATGCTTACAGTCCAAACTTTTATAACATGGAGAAGGTGGAACACATATGCTGAGACACACATCTTAAACTGGTTTTAAAAAACTGCCATTGTACATTTCCAGTTTATTGAGTGAGTGAGTTTAGTTTTACGCCCCTCTTAGCAATATTCCAGCAACATCTCGTTGGGGAGACACCAGGAATGGGTTTGTCACATCGTATCCATGTGGGAATTGAACCCGGGTCTTCGACATGATAAGTGAACATAGCAAGGTGTAATACAGTTCTCCAGTGTTAATCTGGGGTAACAAGGCAATTCAATGCATACAGTCCAAACTCACATAACTTGGAGAAGGTGGAACACAACAATTATATGCTGAGACACCAATTTTTAATGAGTAAAAACTGAAAGAAATTGTGCCTTTCTGTTTTATTGAGTGAGTGAATTTAGCAATATTTCAGCAATATCACAGCAGGGGACATCTGAAATGGGCTTGTCACATCATATCCATGTGATGAATTGGACCTGGGCCTTGGTATGATGAGCGAAAACACTGACCACTGGGCTACCCCACCACTGCTGTTGCATATAGTGTGAACATGACATGTTATGTGATACATTATCATTACCGTGGTTGCATTTTTATTTACTTTTTATGTATTTAAGCAATCAAAGTTAACTTTCCCTCACACATGTCACAGCAGGAATATACTATCCACACCAGGTTAAGAATAATAATATTCAGTATGAAAGTGCACTTATTCCTGACTGAATGAATTAAACAACTTTCCATGACATCACTTCAAGGCTGCCAGCTGGAGTATGGCACACCAGGGACTCAGTCAGTATACAGATCTCAGGGCAACCAAAAAAAAGCTGTAAGTCAGAATGAGCTAACTTTGGTTAATGGTTGATTAGGATTATGCCTTGGGCAGCATGGTTTCAAACGGGCCATTTCTTCACTTTTGAGAGACTACAGTGCCTAATCATGACGTGTGTGACAAATGAAATACAGTTTGTGACAAATGATGTGTGTGCCAAATAGCTAGTGTGATTTGTGACTAATGATCACACATGATACATGTGTCACAAATTACATGCGTGTGAGAAATAGTATACATGTATGTAACAAATGACGTGTGTGACAAATGAAATACATGTATTTGACAAATGATATATGTGACTAATGACGTGTGAGACAAATGCTGAAACAAATATCTGCTCATGATATAGTCACAATTGTACAATCGACTCTGCTTTTGGCAGAGATTTCTTATGAATGTGGGAAGGGTTTTGTCGCTTCTGTGTAACAAATAACGTGTATGACAGATGATATATGTGTGATAAATGATGTGTGTGACATGATATTTTTTACAAATGACGTGCAACAATTAATGTGACTGACGACTTGCGTATATAATCAAAGTATTATCATCTAAAAAGGTGAACACTGAAGGAAATGGGCAGAAGGAATGGATGGATGGATGGAAGTGTGTGTATGTACATCACTTAGTGTATATGTGTATGGGTGTGTGTCTGCATGTCTGTATTACAAAGAAAAGACAACTGCGAACACTACACAGTTTACATGGTTAACCAACATAACATCAGTAAATGTTACCTACCCTCATCGAAATGATTTACTAAGAAATAGTATGCTCTTTCCAATGTTTAGTTCATGATTGTAGGTAAATGAACACGGTGTTGAAGAAACAAATGAATTCAAGAATGACGAGGATCTGGACAGAGATTCCCATGAGGAGATGGTCAACCATCACTCAGTAGTTCAATTGTCCAGTAGAACACCCCACAGTCGGTAATCAACCAGCAGTTCTACCAACTATCGAACAACACCCAGTACCCCCACCCCTCACCCCTGTCGATTTACACTCAGCAGTTCCAGTAGTTCCACCTACTATCGATCATCTTCTAAGTAGTTACCCTTTCCTTCAGTCGTACATCACCCAGCAGTTCCACTAAAACAACTCCATCTTGATGTTCTCACCACTGTTGATCACCACCCAGCAGTTCTGCCAACCGTTTATCATCACCTAGTAGTTCCACCAACCGTCGATCATCACCCAGTTGTTCCTCTCACTGTCGATCATCACCCAGCAGTTCCACCAACCGTCGATCATCACCCAGCAGTTCCACCAATCGTTGATCATCACCCAGCAGCTCTGCCAACCGTTTATCACCACCCAGCAGTTCTGCCAACCGTCGATCATCACCCAGTAGTTCCACCAACCGTCGATCATCACCCAGCAGTTCCACCAACCGTCGATCATCACCCAGTAGTTCCACCAATCGTTGATCATCACCCAGCAGCTCTGCCAACCGTCAATCATCACCCAGTTGTTCCTCTCACTGTCGATCATCACCCAGCAGTTCCACCAATCGTCGATCATCACCCAGTAGTTCCAACACACATCGATCATCACCCAGCAGTCCCCACCCCCAATGTCCATCATCAACAAGGTTTTGGTCAGGCTGACGTTCAATATATATTGAATTCTGTTCTATCGTTGTTGGGTGTGTCTGTTAACACCAACTGTCGAACTTAAGTTTAACATCCTACTCCGAGATTGTTCGGTTGTCCTTTGTGTAACGAGGCACTCATCACTTTTCCAGTAATATGATGACAGTCTGTAAATAACTGAGCCTGGACCAGACAAGCCAGTGATTGACATTGCTAGCATCCATCTACGCAACTGGGATACGATGTCATGTGTCAACCAAGTCAGCGAGCCTGCCATCCGATCCCGTTAATCGCTTGTTACCTCAAGCATGGGTTGCTGAAGACCAGGTTCTAACCCCGGTCTTCACGGATCGTGTTTTCGGTCACCAAACGAGGTTGAACATAATGTTAAAAACAGCGTTTCAAAGTAAATTATTTTGTCACAGCTGGTATTAAAACAAAGTTACACAAAGGTTAGTTTTATGTTTTGTCGTGTGTTTTGGCATGGCTAGATATCCATAATTTCAACAAACGTTCCTGGGCGGTGGCGGATCCTAGAGGTTAAAGCGTTCGCTCGTCACGTCGAAGACCCAGGTTTGATTCCTTACATGGGTACAATGTGTGAAGCCCATTTCTGGTGTCATCTATGGTGATATATTGCTGAAACACTGTTAAAATGACGATATGCATTTCTTCATTGGGATGATTTGGTAATAACAAGATATATTCCTCACACAAAATTAAGCAACAAGTATTTTCAGTATAATATCTTTATCAATCTCGAGAGCGATTTTTGCCGACATGTCGCTGAAAGGTAAATATTCAAAGAATACATAATTTTTAGTGACTGTCAAATTCATTTATCTGATAACATTGACATCACCCAAACACAACCACCGTCAGAAACAACATGCAAAATGTGTGGCATGAATGTGCTCCACTGTTCACACATGCACCCTGATCGGTGTAAGCCTACCTGTAATCATTCCTCTGGCACAACAAGCGGGTCCTAACTTCATTTTAATGGATGATAATGCCTGAGAAAGAGTTGTTAACGATGTTGTTTAGATCAACAACATCACACATATGGACTGGCCTGCAAGGTCACTTGATCTTTATCCCATTGAACATGCTTGAGACATTATTGGAAGTCGTGTTTACGGTCCCCATGTTCACCCCCAGACTCTGGATGACCTTGAGCAGGCGTTGCAGAGAGAATGGCAGAACATTCCACAACAGCAACTTTAAAGGCTCATTTGGTCAATGCAAAGACGTATAGAAGCTTGCATTTGTGCTCATGGTGGTCATACGCGTTACTGAACACTGCTTCACTGTCCAAAACTGACTTGAACCTTAATGTTAACATTTTGCTCCATCAATGCAGCACATTTTGCACGACTGTTTCACGGGTACATGCTTTTGATGATTTGTAAGTCTATTATTGCTCAATACCATTTTATTCCATTTTGTTAATTGTGTGTACATGTTTCACCTTTCTATTGCATCATTCCATGATTTGCAATTTCAATAAATGAAAATGTAATGAGACTACAAATTTGTGTTGCTTAACTTTTGTGAGGAGTATAAATAAACCCCGGCGCAGGGATGAACTGATTTATGCAAAAGGTGTGATGTTGCGTAATGAGACTTGACACCTGAGGTCAGGTGGCTGATCATGTTCCGGTCAGTGTATTGAATGTCTTCCACTTGAACGGGCCAGCATTCGATCAGTGATAGAAGCCAGAATTGATATGTAATCGATTAAATCCTCAAAACAAAAACAACAATATAAGTCAAATGATTTTTGTTCAAATTGCGTTATCTAAACTCAAAATTAAGAGTTGCCTTTTGTTTCCGATGGATAGGAATGCCTCATAAAGATGTTCTCTCTGCGCTGAGGTATAAACACGTGATAAACAGAGGTTAAATTCAATCAATATATATAAACATGTGGATATGTGTTACTTTTTAAGATCTATATTTGCGTAGTTAACTTTTTGGTGATAAGTGATTTTACAAAGTTCAGGGACCCCGGCCTCTGTTGAGGTGTCAGCCTGGTTCTTGGGTATTCCGCGCAGGTGCTTCTCTGCCTTCGCTGGTATCTTCCCATAAGACAGACCTCCCAAAAAGACAGACCGCTTAAAACAACACATGAGCCGTCGGCGTGCCATCATTTCGCCTACCCTCTTATCAGAACAAATTTAACCACCACTGCACACCACGCAGGTGCTGTCCTACCGCTATAATAATGAACTCACTGTCAAGAGAATGAACTTAAACAATACACTTTGTGACGTTTAGTTTAACATCATAGTAACAACGATCATGTAACAATACACTTTGTGACGTGTAGTTTAACATCATAGTAACAACAATCATGTAACAATACACTTTGTGACGTGTAGTTTAACATCATAGTAATAACAATCATGTAACAATACACTTTGAACATTGTCAACACATAGTGTGGCGACAGTGAGGATCAGCAGTTTATTGCATCATGGTCTTGAGGTTATATCTTGAATATGTATTTAAGATTT